TGTCAAATTTATATTTTATTAAATAATATTTTACAAAATTAAAAAATGTGTTGGAAAAAAATACGGGATTTAATACAATTTGCAATATATCGAAAATTCTTGAGGGAACTGAACTGTCCAGAACGTCTCTCCCAGATGACCTCAGCTTTGATGACATGGCTTTTATGCGATATGCTCCTATTATTACGTCTGTACCTAGATGTTGAAAGGAGTTTTTCGGCATTTAAAAATTTGTTGACAGACAATAGACAGTCATTTTTATTTGAGAACATCAAACGAGCACTTGTTGTCCAATACAACAGTAAATACTAAATACTAAAGATGAATAAGGTAGGTACCCGGAAATAAATATCTTAATAATTAAGTTTGTTTTATTATTTTAACAAAATAAATACAAAAAAAAAATTGTTTTAAATGTTTCAGGTGAATAACATTAACTTAATGCAAATATAAATTCAAATTCAATCAACATTTTTACTATTTTTTTTTTTAATAAATAAACACTTTTTTTACTAATGTTTAATATTGTGTACCTAATATTAATATAAATATCAAAATTAAATTAAAAACCATTTTAAATTAATTTTATACTATCATTTTTAGCATTTTATATTCCTTTTTTTTCATTTTAAGTGCATATTTTGCATTTTAAGTGCATATTTTATTGCATTTTTTTGACATTTTTAATGCATTTTTTAAGGTTTTTTAGTGCATTAAATTCACAGCCCTGATTATGGCTGTATGACATAAGCGCCAAAGGTACAAAAATGACCTATCATTTGCGCCAAAATCAGTAGGATATAAGCGCCAATCTAATATTGTATACCTGCTATACCCAACATATGACATAAGCGCTAAAGGTGCAAAAATTACATATCATATGCGCCAAAATTAATAATTTATAAAAGTATTAAGTAGGTAGTTATTTAAAAATTTCTATATCTTATAAAAATTATATTATATTAAAATTATTTTGTTGATAGTAAATTATAATATAGGTAGGTACATGCACATAAATATTTAATAAATTTAATAAATTGGTTAATTTTTTATAAAAATAAAATGTCGATAGTAAATTATAATATACATGCACATCAATATTTAATACATTTAATAAATTGGTTGATTTTTTAATCCCACTTTTTTCACATATTCCATACGATTTATTTCACCATCCTGGTATTTCTTCCATTGTACAATTATTTCATCGTGAGATATCCTTAATTTATTGTTAGGAGGAGAGTTCATAAATAAATATGTTTCGCTTTGTAATTTTAATAATACATCAATTACTATATGAACGGAACAATGAGCAACATAAAATTGGTCTTTTAAATGTCGATGATATGATTCAGCTGCATTTGTAGTTCGTATAACCTCATTATCCGGAATTTCAGCCCAAATTTCAGATGGAAATATACTAGAATAAATGTATGTTTCTAAAATGTAATCACTAAATTTGGAAATCGTTTGATCTTCAGGTGCGATGGACATTAAATCTGCAAAAGCATCAGATACTTCGGTGCACGGAAGAAAAGCCAAACCAAAAAAAGACTTCAACCAAATCCCTATTTCAGAGTTCTTCGTGTATTCATTTCGAAGACCCAAGCTTTGAATTTTCCGAAACCACGATTGCCCTAAATGAAATTTACAACATTTTATTTTTGAGTTTGGAAAAACTGCTAAAAATCCATCATGTGCTGCTTTTTCAAAATCAACTAAGAGTGTTTTTGGAGAAAATTCTAAATTATAGTTTTCACACAATTTTTGTATGTATTTCCACATTGATTCGTAGCAATTTGATGTTTTACTTGGTAGTAGACAGTATATTAAATGTAAATATCTTCCACAGCTATAAGTATGTATTGTATAAAGCTGGTAAAAAAATTTCGGACACACGTAAAATGTACCATCGGCAACTAAAAGTGAACTATTGTGGCACATGTATTGAATATTAGATTTAGTGGTCAGATAAATGATTTTGCTTTCTGTATCTACGTGACAAAACGTTTCGTTCCTATTAGTTAAAATATTCCGGTTACTAACTTGATTAATAGCTTCTTCCAATGATTGAGGCGTTGTCGGCAATAATTTACGTCTTTGTCTGTACATTGAAACTCGAATATTTCCAATATCATCTGAAACCATTTCCGTATTTTCAGCAGCACACAACTCGTGACGCATTATTTTCGATGGTCGGTCGGTAATATTTTCAGTTGCTTTTCTCTTACAGTTATTGCGCAAAATATGACACTGAGCATCATGATCGTTCACTATATCGTGTAAATGCTCACCATTAACACGAACAATCGCAGTCATAGGTTTATCCATCTCTATTCTAGCAGAACATTTTTTTTTGGTACACCTCAATGACACATTACCACTGGCCATTTCTCTTAAAAATCTATATTTTTGTTCTTTAAATAAAATACACACAACACCTTTGTTTGTAACAGTTTTTATAAAATCCATTTTAACGAATGACGCTTACACGAATGCTTACGAAATAGGTACTAACAATATGTTATAACACAAACTGCTCACACACTGTCTATTTGACAATCTATCGTAATCAGATAATACATTTGTCGATTAAGATTAAGTGTTTGGAGTTTTTGAGCGATATAGTTCTAAATTTAATATCTGTTATTTAATTTCTATTAACCGTGGCTCACAGGTACCTAGGATTTTGGCGCTTTTGTACGATACGACTTATTTTTCTTATCCCATTTTGGCGCTAAACCTAACCTAACCTAGAAACTGGATCACATTATATTCATAATATATCGCCTGACCGCGTTTATTGTTTTGTTTGTTGCTATTACGTCCATCCATTATCATTATCGTCGTTGAACGGGACAGTATAGCAGCGTGGTGCGATTATAGGTAGTATATATATATACTACATAATGTATACATAATTACTATTCAATAATAATATTCAGCGCATTGTATGCCTCATAATTTATAAAATATCACAAAATTATATTGACCATAACATATATGTATAATACACTTCAAAATAATAAGTAGAGACGGCTCGTATTATAATGCCTATATATATGGGTACATTATTAGCGCCCTCCACCGCTTCGTGTCAAAAATTACCTACGAATATAATGCATGCCTTGTAATGTTTATAGTTATCGGAACACGGAATTATAATATTATTATTGTAGTCGATCTCCACTGTGGAGGCTGCAGGGTCGGTTTTGAAACCCGCGAGAGGCCATCATCACACGACACACAATATAATATTGTTTTATCAGGGGCGTAGCGTGCATGTAAGCACTGTAAGCACTGCTTACACTTTAAATGAAAGAAAAAATAAATTTGATCAATCACGAATAATAGTTACATAATAAATGATTTTTAAAATTTTAATTTTATTTATAAAATATTTAAGTTATAGCTGGTAGTGGTTTTTATTATTGTTTATTTGTGTCGTACGCTGTTTACTAATTACCAACTATTTTAAGAAAATCATCGATTGTAGGTCTATTTTTAATCCATTCTGTATTATGTTAACTGCATAATCATAATGCGATATACAGTGTAACACATTCTGAAATTGCTTAAATTGCTGAAATTGCTACGTAGCCCTATGCGTTTTGTAGACTGTAGTCGTTTTTACGTACACTGTCACTGTCATTCGCCTAATAGACTTTTGAAGTATTTATACTTCAATTTCTTTATTTTCTCGAATTTGATTTGTACAACTAGTATATTTTTAAAAATATTAAACATTTTAAAAGGATAACATTTTTTTATACATAATTTATAATTAGGTATTTAGGTATAGTACCTATATTCTAATCACTTTTGAAAAAAAAATTTCACTGCTTACATCTTTTTAATACCCACGCCACGCCACTGTGTTTTATGTTCGTATACCACAATCCATCCCAAACGATTCCGACAACCGCGATAAATGTAAAACAGATTTTTTTAGAATAATTATATAACGCTCAATATAATAAGATATGCTCAAATAGATCGGCGTAAAAATTAATCGTAGCAGCCCAGGTTTTTCGTTCAGCATATATTCGAGTGATATTCATGACCGGTGTCCGATGAGCATTGGGAACGGAAAAGAAAATCGTCAATATCGTAACGATTTTGATTAAGACACGTCAGTTCGGCATAATGCCTGTAATATTTTTAAAAACTTTTATAACGAAATAGGTTCACGAACGGCGTTGCCGTCAAAACCATCGTTCTTAAATTATATGAATAATATTACCTAACCTATAGGTATATGTCCCTGGGGGTCTATTTTGTACACCATACGAATGTAGTTCGTATACGAAAATTGCACATTTTTCGTATGAAATTCCAATTCGGTATTTTGTAACTACTTTCATATACGAAATCGCTCGTATGTACGACTGGTTCCCGACTCCCGTTCATACGTAAATTTTACGTATGGTTCACGAAAATGGTACTTTGTACATTGTCCGTACGAAATTACGTACGTACCTATGTACGGTATATTGTAACTATATTATTGTATTATTATATTGTAACCACTTGTTTATATTTGTTCCGACTTCCCAAACACTAACTCTGATATTAAACTCAAAACTCTGAATAATCAAAAAAAAAATAATAAGGCGGCTATTTAATTTCTATCTTATGGACAATAATATTTTGCAATAAAAATATGTTCAGACACTAATTGTCACAATATATTAATGTTCATAACTTTGGCATATTTAGGTACAAATAATTTTTGAGAAAATTACAAGTTTATATTATATTTAAACATTGGAGTATAATTATTAATTTATTACACTCATAAAATTAAATGAATATTAGGTATTAATTATCTTATAATAAACTTTAAACTATATTTGACATTAAAAATTTATATATTATCAATGTGAAAAAAAATTTTGTAAAAATAAAAAAAAAATATATTATCAATGTAAAAATAACATATTAAAAATGACATTTAACTAAGTAATCCTTATAACAAAAACTAGTAGAAAAAATAATATTTAGGAGTTTGTTAATACTTTAAAGTGTTCAGCAGTGTGAGAAGCGAGTGTCATTGATGCTGAATTGTACATATCGGATCGATCTAAAATGGCATCCAATTCTTCATCAGATAAGACTATACGAACAAAATAATATTAATAAAAAATTGGAAAAATATCCTACATATTATAAACAAATAAAACTTATACTTATAATAATCTACTTACTAAATCCATTTGGTTGTATTTTCTTAGTGTACTCTGATGATTTCAATAAAGTCATGAGATCTTCAATACTTGACATGGTAAGTGTTGCAGTTCTACTAAATGAACCTAGTTTGTAAAATAGTAATTTTATTATACAATAACACTTTTCACTCAGCTATAAAATAATAAATATGTTTCATTAAGAATAAGTTTTTATTTATATATATAAAAGACAAACAAAAAAAAACCTATGTTCTTATGCATTCCTAAAACGTTTATCCGATTGCGATGGAATTTGGTACAGAGATAGATTAGATCGGAGATATTGATTTTTTTTCTTTATTTATACATATGAATGTTTGGTTTTTTTATTAATCGGATTTTAGTACAATTAGGTTAAGTTAGGATTTTGTATTAATTGATTGTATAACTTTGATTCTTTAGAGTTAAATTATACACTTAAGTACCGTTCGCATAATCACAAAAACCTAGCAATAGCAACGCATTGCCGTGTCCAGCTAGTTAACTATAAATAACAATAGTGTATATTATGTAGACATATAGTATGTACCAATATATTACTACACTTATTATTGCTGTTTTAAATAAGATAACTTAAGTCAAGTTTCTATTGTTTTCTTAAATAAGAACATTGTTAAATTAAATACATTTACTACAGAAAACATTAGACAGAAAATTGCTACTTTTGCGGGAATGAAAATTAGTGAAGTTAATTCACTAATTCACTCAATTAAATAAAAAATGGAAAAATAGTCTTCTTTAAGCTCAAAAATACTTTAATTATTTTAGATATATTATTATTAAGAGGGCACTATACCCGCATGCGTTCTCCCCACAAACATAACATAGCAATTTATAGGCTCGGCTGATCACGTTCATATCTGTTAGTTTGAAAAGTAGAGAGAATTGTCCACCTCTTATAAAATGTAAAGTTACAATAAATATCTAGTGAACCTCATAGGTTGTTTTTTTTTAGGTTTAAATTTTAAAGCAAATTATGAGGATTTTAAAGTTGTGAATTGTGTGTGCATTTTAAAATGCTTATAACTTGTTATAAAATTTAAATTTAAAACCATATAACGTTCACTAGATAATATTCTTACCTTTAAATTTTATAAGAGGTCAAGTTACTCTAATTTTTAAACTAATAGAGCTAAAATTGATTTACCAAGCATACAATTTGCTATGTTATGTTTGTAAGACAGAGTGAACGCATGTGGGTGTAGCTTCTTTTAAATGCTTGTTTTGTAAACACGAAAATATAATATTTTCTATAGTCAACATTGAATAAATAAAATCAATGTTAAAATCATATAAAAATCAAACAAATAATGAAAAACTATTTTACCACTGCCAATGATCACTTTTTCTAGTTTTCTTTTTGCAGTTGCAAAATTCAATATTCTTTCATCAATAGTGTTCTTAGAACAAAACCGATATACAACAACCGGCTTTGTTTGGCCCATTCTATGACACCTATCTTGAGCTTGCAAGTCAACTTGTGGGTTCTGAAACATTAGTATTTATGAAGTTATAAATTAACATTATTATTTTGTCTAAGATGTTTGAACATTAGTGATTAAAAGTCCCACATGTCCAAAAATGTTTTAATTACTTTATTTAAATTGGTCAACAAAAATATAATTAATCTAAAACCACAAGACACATGTTTTGCAAACATAGATTATGATGTACCACCCAAATTATCATAATAGTATATATAATAGTCATACACCATAATTTTATTGAAATTAACTTTAGATTCTGAGAGTGAAATAGAGAGAAAAAAAAATGTCTACAAGAAACTCAAATTAAATTTTTATGAGCGTTTGAAATTCATATTTTTACAACATTTGATATTCACTCGATTTCTCATGTAACGATTTTCTAATTTTGTTGTGATTAAAAAACGAATGATTGTAGATACTTGAAAATTTCACTGAATGTTAATATTAGTATTTCCTATACACCATTTAATTTTAAAAATATTTTGAGGGGATCAAGAGTAAAAATTTAACAAGTTTTCAAAAGCGCGGTGAAAAACAAAAGAAAAATTAAGGAAAAACCGGAGTTTTTATGCAAAATCTGTTTTCAAGAAAATCGATTTTGGTTTTTGGTGCCACTCTTAAACAAATGACCGTAGGTACCTGAAATTTTGACTGAATGTTTATATTAGCATTTCCTATACACCATACAATTTTGAAAATATTTTGATTCTTTTTGAGCTGTTTACAGACATTTTCAGTTTTACAAAAATGTACAAGACAAAAATTAAAATATAATTCATAAAATGTGAAAAAAAGTTTTTAATAAATGGGATTAAAGTAATAAAGAATGATAAATAGACCAATAAAGGCTAAAAAATATGTAAAAGTAAAAAAATTCATAAAAAAAAAAGAATTCTAAATTGAGTTAATTTGTACTTAATTCAAACATTGTGTTAAAAAGTTATGTCTTACAATAAGTTAAAAATAATTAATTTTCCTATAAATTCACAGCCTTATACAATATAAGGAGATTTAAGTAGGTATCAATATATGAAGAATGGTGAGGAGCAAAGCCCCTCACGTATTTATTCCATCTTTACTTTAACACACTAAAAGTGATTTTATAAGAATTTTTTTCCATACCCAGTCGCTGTCGAATAAAATAACAGTGTCTGCTGACGTTAAATTTAAGCCAAGTCCACCTGCACGTGTTGATATCATCATTAAAAAACATTCTGGATCACTGTTAAATGTAGCCATTGCATCAACTCTAAGTTGAATACTCATAGTTCCGTCCAACCGGGTAAACGAAAATTTACGAAACATCAAAAACTCTTCAATTATATCCATTAACTGTGTCATTGTAGAAAATAGCAACACCTAAAAATTCAATACATAAGTACTGTTAGTAAAAAATAAAACACTTTCCTTTAAGTATTTAAATTTCAAATTGTATAGTTAATAGTTATAATATTATTCTAAGGACAATATCATTCTAAAATACACTATTGACATTCTTTAAGAGGGCACACAAGTATAATTTTTTTTCATTTGTTTTACTGTGTTATATAATTAAAAACTCTCTGTATTTCACCCACTTTAATTTAATCATTTTTGAAATTAAATATTATAATATAATAAAAAATAACATTAATTGTGTTTTGTTGGGAGATTTTTTTAACATTTTGATTTTAAATTATTTATAATTATAAGTTACTAAAATATTAAATCTTCTGACAAAACATAGCTAATATTGTTTTTATGAGTGTCATAATAGCTAATTATAGGTAATAACTTAATTTCAATAATGTTATCAGAATGATGGAATATGGAAATAAGGATAAAAGACTTAGTTTTAACTATATACTCTGTCTGTAAGACAGAGAACATATTTTCTTTTACTGATACACAAACTTAATATTCTTTAATAAGGCAATTTAAATATGAGCGTTGAATATTTATTGTCTGTAAGACAGAGAACATATTTTCTTTTACTGATACACCAACTTAATATTCTTTAATGAAGCAATTTAAATATGAGCGTTGAATATTTATTTTTAATGATACATTATTTTACATTAATGATTAGAATGTACCTACCCTTAAACATAAATATATTACCTTATGGCCAAGTTTTTTCAATTTTGTTAACATGGCATCAAGTATCTGAAATTTACCACTAACTTTGGTAATGTTCTCATCAACAAGTAATTTATTTTCCCCCGGAATTAGAGGCATTTGTACAAGATATGGATGATTAACAATTTTCTTCAATTGAATAAATGGGTTTTGCATATGTACTGAAATAGCCATATTTTTAACTTGAGGACTAAAATTAATAACAATATAATTAGTCACGTAATATTGTAATTTCATATTATATGGTTAGTAGATTTCAATATTTTACTTAATGTTATAGCTATATTGCCTTAAAAGCAAAGATCAAAATAAAGTACAAAAAACTAATGTCCATAGACCAACAACTATAATTATTAAATCATCAAAAATAGGTCAGGCAAACAAAGTTATGTTGGTGTATTCCATAGTAATTTGAATTGTAAAATATATAATGTATGTAATCAAAAATGTCTCTTTATATTTTATATGTTATCCTTAGTGGGGCAGTTTCTCCCAATACAGTACATTGACAACAAAGGAATGTAAAAACCACAAGAGTAATTTTTCTTTTTTTATGAAAAACACTTTGCAAGAGTCTGTAAAAAGGTCAAGATGTCTGTAAATAACTGTGGTGATGTGAGAGGATCTAACCGGAGCAATAGCATCGGCTAACTAGTCAGATTTCAGAATTCAATATTAAAAATGATGATTTTAATGCATTGATAGAAAGATTCAAATTATTTGTATTATTGAATGAGATTAATGCGCATAAAAGAAAATTTGTTTCTTACATTTTTGGGTAACAACAGCTACTCATTAATAAGAGCCCTCTGTACAAGGCCGTATATGAGGGGGGGTTTTGGGGGTTCTAACTTAATTATAATAATTTACCATGTGGAATGTGGGTATACCTAATAATATGATAACTATATTATGTTTGATTATTGATTATAGCCTATAGGTATTGTTAAACATTTTATTATAATCAAACTAATACAAATTCTGATGTCGTTTTCTATAATATAATATAATATTATTATATTATACTTAGATAAGTCACAAACTATTAAAGACGTTTTGTTGTCGGACGCAAAACGTCTATAATAGGTACTTAATAGGTACTTAATATATTATTGAACAACAAATTCTTTTATTAAATATATAACTAATAAATTCTCATTAATAAGTGTGAGGGAACTGTAATGTATGTGTTATCATTATCGTACATAACTTTAAAATGTACAATAAAGAGTCATTCGTACAAAAACCTCCGTGTTGTTAACTTGCGCGTTTCTCTCAATACAGTACATGGTACCTAACATATATCTATAAAGTTCTATTAGTGTACGACTTTACGAGGCATTGATAAGAAATATAATACAGATTATTACTTTAAAATGGGTTATAATATATTTTTTTTTTTTTTTTGCCCATTGTAAGAAAAAATGCAGTTATAAACAAAATCTAGACTATTTTACACTTACTCTATTTCTGGCACATTTACTCTAATAGCATTTAGATCAGTGTATTTTACTATACTTTCCACACATCTTCTCTTACTTTTTACTTCTAGAATAAGATCTTCAGTATCCTGAAAAAAATCTAGTTATTAATGACAAATTATGACAATTATTATTATTAAAAGTAGTAGTATTAGTTTATGAGAGGAACAAAAAAATAATTATTGGTTTCAAAATGTGTTTTATTATTTTATCTAGAATAATAGAATTCAGTAAGTTATACCATCTAATTTAAACAATATGCAAAGAAATGTATTATTATTAAAAAGCTTAACTTTAGTAGACTATATTGGAACTTGAAAGACCAAGAGTAAGAATTAGTAACAATGAAAATGTAACATGTTGGAAAAATTCCTTCTAAAAATAAATTTGTTTATTTCAGTGGCAAAGCATCATAGAAGACAATGAGACAAAGTCTCCCCACTTACAAATTAGATCAAGGGAAAAATCTTTTTGTTTCATGAAATATTTACAAATTTGAACATTATTTATATTATAAAATATAATATGATGTGTGTTTCAATATTTGTTAAAATCAGTTTTTGGTTGTACAGTAATAGAATACTTAATATAGATTAGAAGGGGTCGATAAGGTCGTGTGAACAAGCTAGCAATGCGGTGCATTCCAAATATGGTATTATAATATCAAAGATACGTTGCAATGTCTCCCAATTATGGATGTACAGGGGGAATTTGAATGGGAGTGGGGTTTACTATGTAAGCTATGAGACGCGTCTGGCCATTCATATTACCTCAGTCCTCAATTATTGACATCGCCGAATAAGTGCCATTTTTATTTCAATGTCTCCCCAACCAAAAACTCACGCCTCGCCACTGGTTTATTTCCTCATAATATATTTGTAAAATATAAACTTGTTCTAAATCTTCTTTATGTACAAAGTAACATTTTTTTTTTATCATTAAAAATATTTAATTGTGTTATCTCAAAAACTGTGTTGGATAAAATGCAATGAATTATGAATATATTATTAGAAATTAAAAAAACATTTTTTTCACATTTCTCAAAAACAGACATTTTCCCTATTCCTCATATGTTTGTTTATAAAGGAAATGATTCCACATTTCACTCCTCAAAATGGAACTTGTTCTATTAATCTGTTTATTTTGGAATTTGGTTCACCCCAACGCAAGAAAATGTACAGAGTAAAGCATTAATTATCCAGTGTCTCAATTATCAAATTATTAAAAAAAAATACCTTTTTTTTATTCAGTAAAATTTCCATTTGTTTATTCAATGTTGCTTCATATAATTGTTTTTGTGTTTCTGTAAGTGGAGCATAAATAACAATTTCCTTTTTCGGTGGGAGGTTTAGATCAGTTTCATTTTTTTCCCGTCTCAAAATAAAGGGTTTTAATATCTATAACAAAAGATAACAGATAATTTTTCTTGTATTTTTATATTGTGTATAGTAGAAAAAAAATAGCTAAAGCTGGTAGATAAGATCCAAACTACTTATTTAATATTGAAAATAATACAAATAAATTATTGGCCCTAACACCTTTGTCTACTTATGAATCACAAATTAAATACTTTTATGATTATTTATTAACACTTGGAAAAATATATTTTGAATATATCTTTGCTGAAACATCAACATTCAAATTTAAAATGAATTACTTAAAGGTGATAAATATAAATCCTTTTGAACACAGAAGTTCAGTTGTAAATTTCATTTCTTAATTACTAATTAGTAATATATTATTCTTAGATTTTAGGAACAAAAAATCATCTTAATCATATTTTTAATTCATGGAATATACTTAGTTCACAATAGTGAAAAATAGTTGGTAAAAATAAAAATGATCAAACTTAATTGCATTTTATTCATGAAATAAATGATTTTAAATCTGCTGAGCTTGTTGAGGATCTTATGATTGGCATTTCTAAATTTTTAATACTTTATGTATATTAAATAAACTAACATCATTCAGTTTTAAGATAAATATGAAGTTTATTACCTTTAGAATGATGTCTAATAATTCGTCCTTTTTGACCATATTAACAATTTTGTCATTAGAATCAAAAAACTTATCAATAACAAACCAAGAATTAAAATCTTCTAGTTGATCAAACATTTTAGGCATCAACCAATTCAACAGTGACCATAATTCTGACATATCATTCTGAATAGGTGTCCCTGTGAGTATGAGCTTGTTGGTACAATTAAATGCACGCATACATCTAAAAACATTAATTTTTAAAATTAAATTTTTTTTTAATAAATCAATCATTATAATTATATATTTTACATACTTGGATATTTGGGAATTGGCGTTCTTCACTTTTTGTCCTTCATCAATTGTAATGAATTTCCAATCAATATTTTTCAAATATGTTATATCGCGACGCACAACATCATAAGTAGTTATTACAACTGGTTGACATTTAAATTTATTAACTTTATGAGTACTATTGAACTTTGATCGCAACTGAATGCGTTCACTTTCCGTACCATGGTATAAAACAGTTGGAAGCTTAAACAATAATGAATGAGCATAAATTACATATTTTTAAAATAATAAATTTGGTTATTTACCTTAGGGGAAAATTTTGAAAATTCTGACAGCCAGTTGGGAATTGTAGATAGTGGTGCAATGACAAGAAATGGTCCGGGTATTTCCATTTCCAAAAGAAAACAGTAAAAAGCTATAGTTTGTACAGTTTTACCAAGTCCCATTTCATCAGCTAAAATTCCATTCAAACCATTTTCATACAAAGTCTAATAAAAAAAAAGGTTGTTTAGTTACAATTATTTAAAAAAACGTTGTTGTATTAAGTTTTCCTAATAATGTAAATACATACTCTAATCCATAGGAGACCTTCAATTTGGTGGGCTTTAAGATTCCCATGAAATAATTTTGGTTGCTGAAATAAGCTTAAATAATACTCTTCTTCATTGACATCCTAAACATCAATACTAGTTATTATACATTTAATTGAGGTTAAATAATTCATAGACCAAGTGAAAAAAAATACTTAATTATAATATAACTAAAGAATAATGTTCTTCTTTCGCTATAAATATGTATTTAAACATACACTATCTCTGCACGCCCGGTCAATGTCAACAACTTACATACAAAAATTAACAAAATACAACTATAAATTATTCTGGCATTAGGCCTTAGAACAAATACTAATAGGTATGTGATATAAGCATTATATAGTTTATTATATATTTCATTTTGTGATATCAACTCGTAATTATATAATTTGAAAAAAAACTACAATATCCTGTAGCAGTGAAAATTTAATTTTGTGTAAAAATGAAAGTGAAAATACTTAGCAACAGTTGCATAAAAATAATAATAACATACATCGATTGGGGAATAATCATCACATGTTTCACTTTTGTGCATACAATTGCATCACGTAAAACAAATGCCTATTTTAAATGAGAATGCAAAATAGACGTGATATTATCATTGTTGAGCGGGGTTATTATTATATTTGTTTATTTGTGAAAGTTGACACTGTTCAGACGTCTAGACAAAATGTTAAACATAAACAAAATATTTACTACAATTGATTGGTTATCTGTATTCTTAGTCGATTCATCTTTATAATTTGGCACATTTTCTTTCATTGTCATAGCATTACCTAGTTCCTTTCTATAAAAAAATAATACAATTAGTTTATTATTTGTAAAATATCATATTTTGTAAACATAGGCGTGCACAGACTTAAATTTCCAGTTGAGCCTGGAGCAGTTAGTGCCTTCAGTTAGTATAACCATTAACCAGCCTATTAATGTCTTTAGTCATAGTACATATTTTATACACAATGTTTTTGTTAGATGAATAAAATTGATGTACCCAGTGGTATACACAAATATTTTTAATTTTATTTCACCCATCATCATGATTCACGGCCAATAAAATCTTCAAACATATTATTATAATAAATATTATATATTTCATACATTTTACTATGCCCCTAAAAAGATTCTGGCCAGCCGTGGCTCAATCGGCTTTCTCCTTTGCGCACGCCTATGTTAGTAAATATTTCTACAAACAGTATTTCAATTTAGTTGATATTCCAGTTGATATCTTAAATTACTAAACTATAAAAACTTACTTAATAATTTGAATTTTACATATTTTTAATCTGGATTCAAAAAGATTGGATAATTTAGTACTATTTTTCAATAGTGTAAGTAAATTTTGAAATCTTACTCTCTTTTCTTCTTCATCTAAATCATTAACCTAACAGATAACAAACAAAAATAAATGTAAAAAAAATGTTTGATTTCATTTGTAATAGTTATTGTAATGAATAAATATATTAGGTAAATGCTGATATACATCAATCTGAATTGTATTTCTATAAAAAATTAGATTTAATTTTCATAGCAATTCCCTAGAGCAAGATATTGAGATAATTGTTTACCAAGGATTCTTCATCTTTTTTCGTGTGATCTTCCTTTAACCGCTGTTCTTCCAATACCAATTCTTTTGGAAAGAAACCAATATCTAAAAAAAGTATTAAAAATATAATTTTTATCAATAAAACTGAATATAAAATGTATCTTTTAACTTTGAACTCTTAAAATATAAAAGAATAAAGTGAATTCATACTGAAAATAAACAAATTATTGTGTTGCACAGAATTGTGGGGGAATTAAATTAAATCATTTTTTTTTTTTTTATATTAAAATTAAATTTGAAAATGCAAACACAAATAAATAGTTTGAAACAAGTATTTGGGTGGGCAGGCGGAAAAAAAGCCCAGAAATATAAATATAAATGTGACCTTGTATTTCTATTTCTGGGGTTTTTTCCTTGGGCTTTTTTCCACGATTCATTTGGGTGTATTGGTAAAAGTTATTTATTCAATTTTAATTATCCGATTTAGGTAGGTACTAAAAAAATATTTTTACAGTTTCAATTCAATTTAGAAAATTCTTACCGGGTATATCGATTTCTTCATTGGTGTTGTTAAAATGTTCATGTACACTTAAATCATTTTTTTCATACAACTCATCTTCTTCTTTACCTAAATAAAACAAGTGTTCTATATAACCAACAAATTATTGCGTAACTTAGAATTGTGAGTGAATTTTGAAAAACCTTGTTTAACTTGAATTAAAATTAAATTTGATATGCATACAACAAAAATAGACAGCTTTAACAAGTATTTGGGTGTATTAGTAAAAGTTATTTATTAAATTTTAACTATCAGATTTAGGTTACTAAAAAAATATGTTGACATTTAAATTCAATTTAGAAAATTCTTATAAACACATGGGTACTATTAATAATATTTATAATGCTAATTGTGTGATAAAAAACGATATAATAAGAATTGTTCGAATCGGGAGTCAGGAAAATACATATTTACCTTTGGTATAAATTACTCAATGATCAACAAACTAATGTATTTACCCTTTCCTGTATCTTATATTTTTATTTTTATAGATCAACAGACGTTAAGTGGCATCATGATAGTCAGCCACATACACAGGGGGGTGTTTGGGGTGTTCAAACATCCCCCCCCCCCGAAAAATTTGGTTTTTGTATGGTTATTTACCTTATTCTATTTTAATGTTAATTGTCATATTAGGTACACTATACTTTTATGGACAGGTATAATATTACATTATGTTAGTGAAAAACCGTCTAAAGCAAAATAAAAATTTAATACTAAAAAATTTAAATAATTAATAATATAATTTGAACAAAAATAAAAATACTTAAACGGGATTTATAAATAAAATAAAATTATACCTATACACTATTGACGTGGGTACAAAAAAAGTCTAAAATGTACATAGACACGGGAAATACCTAAGCAGCTAAGCTATAGGTACATGACAGAATAACAATTACTACGAATAATGGTATATTATATTATTATAACAACATTATTAAATGTACATAGAGGCATAGAAGTTAATTACTGTGAAGATGTTCATAAAATAATGGCTAAAACTTCACAAAAATTAGATTTAGTACTGTAATTTTTTTGTTATATCAATGTTCATATTTTATAAAAAGTATTATATTAAAGTAGGTACAGCTAATTTTTGTAAAAAAAATTTGTATGTTTATTAAAAAAAGTTCTACTTTTCAATAACTGATTTTCAAAAACACCCACCAAAACTTTTTTCTGCGTACGTCACCGATGATAGTATTTACAGTGTCATATTTGTTGGATTATCATAATAATAATTTAGTGGATTGATTTATTAATTTAGAGAATTCCACACCCACATGTGTTGTCACAACGAACTAAGATATAGTACCTATTTGGTTGTCTGTCATACAAACGCAATTACATACCACATTGTACGTTTTGAATAATTAATTTAACTCTGTTATAATTTTAGAGTGAATTGACCTATTAGTGCTATTACCAAATTTTGTGGTAAGAATATTATCTAAAAGGTGATGTTTTTTTTATTTTTAAATTTTAAAGAAAAATTACAGGGTTATTAAAATAATAAAATGTCTTTGATCTTACCGATATCAACACTATCTTGACCATTTAATTTTAATTGTTTACTCATTTTTCTTTCTTGGTTCATACCAATCGTCAGTATTATATAATCAGCTTAATTTCATTTGCCACATTTTCCATGTTAACTGTAACAAATTATACAGTTTATTAGTGAAGATAAGGTAAAGAGATATTTAGGGAAATAAGGGATGGAGAGAGCTGGTGTTGAATACAAAAAATCCTCCTGCATTTGATTTCATTGAAACTGCAATAGTTGTCAGTTGGGTGACATTTTCAGGATAAAAAACATAAATAGGTATCACATTAAATAATAACTTGTAGAATACTTACATTGATTTTCAAAAATTATGATTTCGAAAAAAATGATTTCGAAAAAATTATAGGTAGGTAATTCTCTTGATTAGTTACAGCCGGACAATGTTCTTGAATGTTGATTATAATTTATAACACTTATAAGTTGTCCGATCTGTTTTTCAAGAGAAAATACTTTTTGAATTCAAAATGTTATCGTAAAGTGGATTACACACTAGGCGATTCGAACGTCGCGAAAAATCGCGAATAATCGCCCAAAAATTAAACATGTACGTTTCGGCGAGTTCGAACGCGCGTCTCATTTACGTGTGTGAATAAGCCCATATAAAAGTATATGTAAATATGTTTAATTTTAGGCGATTAATCGCGACGTTCAAAACGCGCGTTCGAATCGCCTATAGTGTGTAATCCACTCAACGATAAATATGTGATGGACAAACAAGTAATCTACTAATACATTACAAGTACTTAATAATAAAAAAACTATTAAACTACCGTTACAATAGACAGTATCTACGTACCATAGCATTACGGATTATTAAATTCGCGAAGACAAAATAATAGAAACCGAACAAAGAATGAACATTAAAGTTTAAGTCGAACAGGACACGAGGCCACGAGGGACACGAGGCCAAGCGGGAACAATGTGAAATGTAAATGGAAAAATGACTGTTACAGTATTAACGACGTCTATTGAAAGTAAGAATAAAGACTATTCGCCGTGCCGTTACCGCGTCGCCGCAACGAATTTCCGCCCGGTCGACTATTGTAATATTATACAGAGTGTAACAGAAATATAATGACAAAATCGATTTTGGTTTTTGGTTAAACTCTAAAACAAATGAACGCATATACATGAAATGTTCACTGGTAGTTTATGTTTGCATTTTCTATACACGATAAAATTTTCAAACAATTTTGATTTGTTTTGAAATGTTTAGGAACATTTCCAGTATATGTATGTGTCACATCTTTCTGTTACGCTCTGTATTACGTTATTTGTCATATACCTATTTCTTGTAATCATCGCGGGCTTATCGCACCGACGACCAAGCGATCCCACATCCACTAATATTATTATATATAAATATATAATATTGTTGTGTGTGCGTGAGGCGACCCGACGACGGGTAATATTGTACTATTTATATTTTTTCTTAGTCAATAATATTATATTATATCTTTACCGTTGTCGGCCGTAGTGGCGTAATCACTAATCACTAATCAGTCTCCGCCGCACTGCGAATCGATACATCTGTAACCTTAGATCATATACAATATGATATTATAATATTGTATATGATCTAAGTCTGTAACGAACCACAGATTTCTATATACCTATTACGTTTAGTATAGAAGTCTGTGTAACGAACTGGGTACCTACTATTGTAGTGATAATAGTAGATAAGTGGCTCCCAGTACGTTAATGTGCAGGTCGCAGACACTTCTTCAGATGTTGTAGTCGTGGTTGATAAATAAATAAGAGAACAGTTGTTGTATAATATAATATTGTGAGTTTTATTATTGCACTTCGATAATTTTACTAAGTCCAAAATATTGTTGTACAGAGTGGCGTGGAGGTGCTTGCACCAATGGGTGGTAGTACACTAGTACACGTCTGAAAACAGGCCTATTCCGCTATTCGGGCTCCGTTATATACAGGGCCGGATTTAGGGGAGGGGGCCCCGGGCCACCACAAATTGAGGGCCCCCACTAAATGTTTTTTTTTTACATCCAAGTATATTGTATAAAACACAATATAACATTTTCAAAACGGATTTAAATCACAACATGAATACAAATATTCAATCATTGATATTGTCATAAATTCAGGGCCGGTTTTAAGGGGGGGCACCGGTGGGCAATTGCCCGGGGGCGGCAAAATTATCTCAGATAAAATAAACAAAAAATTAATTTTTTTCGTAAAGAGAAAGATTTCTAAAAAATTATATATTTTATTATTATTTATTTTTTAAATTCACATATGCATACATTTTTTTTACCTATATTTTATCATTTTAAATAAAGAGAAATAAACGTTATTAACTAAGTAGGTAGGTACCTAACATTATTCAATATTAGTGGGTTTATTTTTACTTGTAAACTGTAAAACTAACTAGACGTATAGTATAACTGCGTTGCCCGTATTGGCAAATCAGGATTATCGATTGTACTTATTTACTGGCTACTAAAATACGCAGTGATAATTGTGTCATTTCATATTATACAACTTGCTAAACTCTATATGTCAGTGACTACGTACTCCGTACCTACATAATTTAAATCTCAATAAGTGAACTAATATAATAGAAATAAGAGTTTACTTTTTTTTTGAATTGTTATATAAAATAAAATATTATTATTATTATTATATTATTTATAATAATATTAAAACTTTCAACTTTATAATTGATATTGTAAGGTTGTGCCAGTTAAGGTAGGTACACTACAATTACACAGTTTAGGTTCACTTAAATTACATTGCAAATCTGCATACAATTATTGGATATATTTATATGTTTATATATTTATACATTATATATATGAATTGAATGCAGTAATTTAGTCATAGTGGCAAGTAGGTAAATAATAATTAATAAGTAAGACTAGATAAATTTAATTGTGTCATAACAATTTTTTAGTTGAAATTATACTTTAATGGAGCTAAAAAGAGTCAAAGCTAGTGGTGTATGCAATGGTTAGGAGGCAAAAAAAAAGAAGGAAAAACCTAATGAAGTTATCAGAAAAACAAACGAAATAAATACCATGTTTAAACTTAAAAGAGAAGAGCATAGTGAGAAAGTAGAAACCATAGTTTGGAATTCAAAGTAAACACATATTTAGTGTCTTGTGATTCTATAATAGAAGAATTAACAAGTCGAAAGTTAGCTTTCGATAATGTCATAAGTCATAACAAAGTATAGTTTTTTTTTAAGACTCACAAAGATAAAACCATCAGAAGTACGTGTTTTAGCTGAACATTTGTACTCAATGTATACAAAAGATTTGGATGTAACATTTATTAACGAATGTGTTTATTTTCAAAGTTGTATTCAAAGTATGAAAAATTCTCCATCAACTATAATTGATATGAGTTCTATGTTAAAAATAGAAGGATTAGAAGACATTTACCCGTGTGTTAGTATTCCTTTGCTTTACACATGTTTTTATGTACTCCCTGTTCAAACTGTACCGCTGAACGGTCATTTTCAACTTGACGCTGAATAAAAACATACCTAAGGTCAACAATTTCTAAAGAGAGATTAAACTCACATGCAATATTAAATATTGAATCAGAAATAACAAAACAAATTAAATATGAAGATATTATAGATCATTTTGCTGATATTCAATCAAGAAAAAAATTGTAAAATAAACAATAAATATTATTATATTACTATATTATAGTACATATTATTAATTGTATATCATTCTTTATTATTTGAATCATGGAAGATTCTAGGTAGATAGTACCTAAGACCTAAGTTATAAACTAGTTACTTATGTTTTTTTTTGTATAGTTTACCTACTATTAAAAATCTAATATTGGAATGCATAGGTAAATATATAGTTAAAATTGCTAAAAATTAACTGCAAATTAAATTTCAATGAGAAAGGGAAACATAAAAAATGAATTAATGTTATGCCCCCCCCCCAAAAAAAAAAATAAAATTTAGCCACCACTTCTATGATATTAAAAAAAATGTGTTGGAAAGGGGCGCCATAAATATTGTGCCCGGGGGCGAAAAATCCCTAAATACGGCCCTGCATAAATTTATAAATAAATGTTATTATTAATATTTAATAACTAATGAATTTATAGAAGTGAGTAGCTAGCTTACAAATGTGAATTTAAAATCGATTATTATGTTATTATGTTATTATTAGGGCACGGATGTTGTAGTACTAAAAAAATAGTAAAATTGATTGCAGTATAGCACTAAAAAATACCAAAAATTGCACTTAAAATATTAAAAATTGCACTAAAAAATAACAACGTTTTGTTATAAATGTTTTAAGTTTACTGTTATAAATTATAATCTAAAATTCTAAATAATTCAAAAAAAAATATATACATTACATTATAATCATGCCATTATACATTTATTATATTATTATACATCATTGCATTGTACTATAAGTGTTTGTTTTAAATTTTCGAAATCAAACCCTCTTCGATTTGGAGCTAGTAAGTTCTTATACGTCGGTTGATGTAAGCGGAGAGTATTTAAAATAAGATAAATCGCTTACTGTTAAGTCTTCGGGTAAACCATCGAATGATTTTCTTTGTCCAGTTAGTATATCATTGATTTTAATAATGGTTTTAAGTCATATATAAGTTTTAATATGGCTAAAATAGTTGTATAAATGAGTAAATTCGACAAAATTGCAATAAAATTGAAAAAATCCCAAAAATTGCAAAAAATTGCACTTAAAACTTTTAGATTTGAATTCGTACTTTCATGAAACGTATTTAAAACTTACTTAGCAATTAATTGAAAAAGTAGAAAAAAAGTTGCAAATGCAACATCATCCGTGCCCTAGTTATTATTATCTTGTAGACTTGTAGATATTTTAATTAAAAACAGTTATAAATAAACACATATTATAACTTGTATAGCAAGCCGTCCGCTGTGGACTGTTATAAATAAATGCGTGCTGAATAAGTTCTAAATAAAAACAAATAGATGGTACACTCAGTTTTCACGCTTCAACCATTAAGTATATTTTGATCGTGATATTTATCCAGGTTAG